CAGCTGCTGTCTGGCTTCTCTCTGTGCCCAGGTCCCTCTGCTCATGAAGAGCGGCAGGGTATCAGCAGGGAGCGTAGTCCTCCAGGTGAGGAGAGCATTTATATGTACAACCCCCCTGCATTCTGCATGCCTTGGAGACAATAGAGGAAATGTGGGAGGCAATGGGTCTAAAGCAGGGCTGTAGCCCCTGGCTTGCCTGGATCCAGTTCCCTAGGCTCAGCCCCCCCCCGGCAAGCCTGGAGCACACAAAATCTACTTGCCTGGGCCCCCTAGGCTCTGGGCAATGTGAGGAGTGTCTTTTTGCTTCTCAGTTGAGGGCCGCTCACTTTTCCTTCTCACTTATGTGTGGCCCCCAACTGTTTTTTCTGTGGGTCAGTGGCCCCTGACCCAAAAAAGATTCCCCACCCCTGGTCTAAAGCTTAGACAAAGGGCCCAAGGAGCCAGATCTGTTTAGTAGAGGCAGACCTAAGACTCACCATGAAACATCAGGCAAGTCACTGCCATGCTCTGTGCCTTGGTTTTCCCCTCTGTGAAATAGGGATAATAATCCTCATCTACCTTCCAGGTGTCTTGTGATGTGTGAGCTAGCTGTATACTCAGCCAGACCACAGGCATAGTTCAGAGCAGCCTGGGGGCTAACAGAAGAGCATCTTGTTGCTAGGATCAATGATCTGTTGCATTTTGCAGTCCATTTACTATTCTGGGGTGCTGGGAATGGAGCTTACATCCCACAGTAATGGGTAGGGCATATAAATCTGAACACAACCTAGAAGAGCAGGAGCCTGCAATAATTTTGAGGGTTGCATTATCTCAAACATCCTCTCCCATAAGAACTCATCTTCCTTTTTCAGCTTCCAGGACCTGGCACACATTAAAAGGCAGTCTCCAAAGCCAACAAAGATCAGAAGGACTAGGCCAGCCATACTCAGACCTGAGTGGTTCAGGAGCCAAATTAAGGATCCACATTACCCAAAAGAGCCACAGTCATGTGAATTCATTGTGTCTTTTACCAATATAGAAATGCTCACAGCAAAATGACTGACCAAGAATCATTTTATCAACAACAATTGGATAAAAACATAATAAAATTGTCCAGATTAATTATTAACCAGTCTAAGTTATTAACCAAATCACACAGGGCTCGTCTACACTGGCCCCTTTTCCGGAAGGGGCATGTAAATTTCATGAGTCGTAGTAGGGAAATGCGCGGGGGATTTAAATATCCCCCGCGGCATTTAAATAAAAATGTCCGCCGCTTTTTTCCGGCTTTTAAAAAAGCCGGAAAAGAGCGTCTACACTGGCCCCGATCCTCCGGAAAAAGTGCCCTTTTCCGGAGGATCTTATTCCTACTTCAAAAGTAGGAATAAGACCCTCCGGAAAAGGGCACTTTTTCCGGAGGATCGGGGCCAGTGTAGACGCTCTTTTCCGGCTTTTTTAAAAGCCGGAAAAAAGCGGCGGACAGTTTTATTTAAATGCCGCGGGGGATATTTAAATCCCCCGCGCATTTCCCTACTACGACTCATGAAATTTACATGCCCCTTCCGGAAAAGGGGCCAGTGTAGACGTAGCCACAATGTTTTAATATTACGTGTTGCAAAAAGCAATGGGAGATAAACTCAGCAGTGGCTTGGTGTTCCTGAGCCCCAGTCAGAGTATCCCTATCCTAGGTCCGTCAGTCCTCTGACAGCACTCAGGTTTTTCAGTGCCGAGGACTCTGGGCTGTGGCTGACAGCTTAGGGTTCAGGTTATCCTGGCATGACATGAGACCCAACCCGCTCCAAATGGCCTAAGAAAACCTGCAAGTGAGGGGAGCATCTTGGCTAAGCTCAGCAGTTTCCCCTGGAACCATTTAATAATCTCTGCCATGTGAGCAGGGGCCTCAGGCACGGATTGGAACAACAGGCCAAGTTTGCCCCTTGCTTGCCCAGACAGTTCAGCGGCCGGAGGGATGAGTTTGTGCAAGTAAATTGGAACTACAGAACTTCCGAGCTAATCCCATGAATCCCACTAGATGGCAGCAGATTGCTGAGTGAAACAGAAATGGTCCCTGGGATGATTTCACAGGACACTGCTGCTGTTCAAGGTGCAGAACATCAGGCTCAGAGAACGACAGGGCAGTTCAGTAGCTGGAGCCCTCAAAGGCCTGCTGTGCTAGAGCGTCAAGGAGAGGGATCCCTTGGACACAGCTCTCTGCTGTCTTTGGTTCACCAGACCACCCCGAACTAGAGGTGTCACAACAAGCGCTTTTCGCTGAGATCAGAGAGGAAAGATGGCGTGTTTTGTGCTGAAATCAGGCAATGATCCCACGTCACCAGGAGGCAGAATCCTGCAGCGATCCTAGAAGTCACTGAGCACCGCACACGTTTTGTAATTCTCCCATCACATATCACGGTAGCCTCTTTCAGTCCCATGCCTGCCAGCGTTTGTAAGCTAGAAAGAGGAGGTAGAATCCATTCACCTCCAAATTGCAATGATATGCACTGAACAATGTGACAATAAAAACTAATAATGTAACAATAATCAATATTTAATTTTCCTGTAGCTTCTGCCATGTGTGGCCCTTAATGTGCTTTGCAAATGTTATGAACTCAGACTCTCAATCCCCCTGTGAGGGCTGCAATTATAAATCTCCAGTTACAACAGGGAAACTGAGGCACAATGCTGAATGAATTTGTCCAGGTTTATACTGTGCATCAGTGGGGATAGAGCTCCTGTTTCCTGACTTGGAGACCTGTCACTGAAATAACACAAGAGCCAGCTCAGCCCGTTATGCTGTTGGGCCAGATTTCCGAAGGGCATTTTATCTGAAAAAAAGGAAAGGGAATCAAATTCCTTTTTAAAAAACAAACAAAACCCCCAACAACTTGCTACTGTATTTTCTCTCAGAGATTAGTGAAGTTACAGGATGATTACATGCCATGGAGAAGCATTTTCTGTTTGTTCCAAATGTATTGTGCTTTCATTTCATGCTCCTGGATTACAGAACTTCCTTTGGGTCTCTGAGTTGTTGCCTGGGGTCTGGAAAAATCCTATTCCACAGATTTTGGTTATTTATCTCACTATGGAGATAAAATAAACTCAGAGTTCCTGAGCCCCCAGTCCCTAGAGAGGACCAGGGCAGGTTTGTAGGAGGAACAGCACAATCTGGTTCTCTGTGAATAAACTATCTGTCCCATCCCTAAATACTCAACACACATAACCCGGAAGATAGAACTGAAGCCTGCTGTGAGTGACACTCATCTTGTACAGAAGACAGAGGTTATGTGTGACCAACTGGAAAAGTGTGTCTATCTGTAGTGGCTGGTTCACTAGAGGAGAATAGTTTACTACTGTTACCAGTAACAGAATTGCTTCTTTAGCTCAGGTGGTAGAGGACTGTGGAGCAGTGCCGAAGGTCCCAAGTGCAGACACTAGGATGACCAGATACCAAGTGTGAAAAATTGGTGGGTATAGCTGTGTATACAAGACAAAGCCCCCAATATCAAGATGTCCAATCACACTCACAGACCTGCTGATGACCCCTGCTGTGGTGGAGGTTTTTACATTCTGTCTTTCATACTTGGCCTTGCTGTAAATGTAATTTTCTTTCATGCTGCAGGATTTCATGAAAGATACACATGCTATTTCCCTCATACCCCTTCTCTATTTTCTCTTCCAGGTTCTGGGTCTTGCCAGCTTAACTGTTGTCATGAAGTCCTTTCCCCCTCCCTCCATTGTTTTTTGTTTAAACTCCTTTGGATTTCTCAGACGATCAAACAAAGCTGTGTGGGAAGGCTTTGCAACAGCTGTGATGAGAAAGGATGGAAGGCATCTGTCAAGTCCTTCTAGATAGCCAGGTCCCTCAGACCACTGGGTGATCAGTATGACAGGTATGCTAGATGTGACTATTCTTGGGCGTCTGTATGACACTGTGGATGGTCACTGGGTAGAACTAATTGAACTGTTGTGAAAAGTTCTTCATTTGACAGATTTGGCCCTTTTTCCAGCCTGCAAATGCTCATGAGGCAGAGCACAGTTTTTACAGCTGTGTTGTTATATAAAAGCATTTGCCACATACACCAAAGCCTGTGGATCCGTGGGTAAGTAGGTGCAGCAAACATCCCTTTGAGTGGAGTGATTGGGCACTAGAATCACATGGGGTTGTTTCTGTTCCATAATTGGATGAACTGGTTTGGCCTTAAAACTAACTTTTGTTTTTGTCACGAAAGTTAATATTATTTTGCAATTAATTGGCTAAGAATTTGCTCTCTGCAAACATGTGTGTGAATGGAGTGTTGCTCACTTGGGTGCATGAGGGAAAAGGGGACGCCTGTGAATGTGGTTGAATCAAAATGGGGTTCTGAATTCTCCAACGCAGAGGGGACTCATTGCCTGATACTTGCCCAGCTCTCAGGCAGGGGAGGTGAAGGGGTTTTTGCACTTGCCACTCTGGCTAGAGGAGGATGCACATCTGCTACATGCTCAAGCAGACTAACAGGAAGAAAAGGCAAATTCCACCACCCAGGCTCTCCACAAAATCTGGATTCTCTAGTGGGCAGAACTTAGGGAATCACAAGACTCACAGCTGGGCTGTTAAAGATGGAAAGTCAGATCCCAGCTACCGAAGTATTGGCCCCAATGGGGCATTTTCAAAATGCCTTGTCTAGTTTTTTAAATGTTCAGTCATAATTTACCTCCTAGAGCTGCCCCTGTTCTCTGGGCTGGAAGCATGGTGCGCTGTGGGCCCCTTTGTGCCGGTCTGCAGGACTGAAGTGATCACAAAGGGACTGGAAAGGACCTACCCTGGGGATGCAGGCAATGCTGGGGAGCGGGCCTATGCCACATCCCAGCACAGGGGGCATACTGCGGTGGTGTGGGGAGGAGGGTGAGGTCTGTGCACTGTGCTCCGTGACTAGCCCTGCTAGGCACTATGTTACTCCCTTCGCCTGGGCTGCCCTGCTGGATCCGCTCCGCCTAAATCAGGCCCCGAGGTAGCCCGAACAACCAGCGCAGGGCGCACGCCCAGGGAAAGGGGGCGAGGCCAATTCTGGAGAGGAGCTGGGTGACTCTCAGCTCCAGGCAGCCGGGCCCCAGCCAGTACCCCCGGCCCGGCCAGGCCAGCAGCAGAGAACCGGTCGCGGCAGCTGAGGCATCTTCTGGGCTGGTGGCCCCAAGATTTGATCTGCAGTAGGGCACAGCCCCAGAGTTCACAGGCACCGGCCCTTCCCCACTGCGGGTATTCCCCTCCCCTCCCCTTCTCTTCCCTCCGGCGCTGATTCCCAGCCCGGCCCCTCTCTCCCCCGCCCCCTTCTCCGCCCCGCTCCCAGCTCGGCTCCCCGGCTGCTGGAGCCGCTCCCCGCGGCCATGAGCCCCACCGCGCTGCTGCGCTGCGCCCTGCTCCTGCTGCTGGGGGGCTCCGCCGGGAAGGCGGCGGCGGGGGGGAGCCCAGCCGGGCAGCAGCAGGAGCTGCCCACCGTGGTGATCGCCATCCTAGCCCGCAACTCGGAGCACTCGCTGGCCCACTACCTGGGGGCCCTGGAGCGCCTGGACTACCCCAAGGAGCGCATCTCTGTCTGGTAAGGGCTGCTGGCTCGGGACCCCGGCCTGCTCGGGGAGGGCCAGAGTCCGGGGGCCCCAGGGTCGAGGCTAGTGCCAGGGCGAGGAAGGGCAGCCTGAGGCTTCAGGGGCAGCAGAAATGGGAGAGTGCCCAGCAGGATGGTGTCATCCCGTGTCTGCCCCCTAACTCGGGGCACGGCCAGACTGGAGACCCCTGCCCCGATTTGAATGGTCCTGGGCACTGGCGCAACAGCGCGGCTGGAAGCCCCGAGTTATGGGCTGGCCACGTTTCCACTCGCCAGAGGGAGATGCCCCCATCCCAAGAGCGGAGGTTCTGCCCCGGCTCCGTGCATAGCCTCAAGCCTGGTGCCCGAAGCTGGGAGCCGCATCCCGTCTGCTTCCCCTGCCCCAGACTTCCCTGCCTTCCTCTCGGGAGCTGGTGGGAAATGTTACCCCGGGAGTCATCGTAGCGAGCCTGAGCTCTCCGCCCTGTGTTCAGGGCTGCTGGCAGCTGATGTCAGGCTAGGGCTCGGGGAGCCACCAATCCCGGCTGCAGCGTGCGCTGGGCGACTGGCCTGGCCTGTCTCCGCGAACACGCGGCTTTCCGGCGGGCTGGCTGCGTGTCTTGGGAATTCGCAGCGCACAACAGCGGAGGGGTTAGCGAGGAGACGCCAATCCCCACTTTTCCCGGCAGGAGGCGCTGTGGCGCAGGTGGTGCTCGGGGAGCGGAGCGGTACCTGCCGCGTGTTTGGGTCCCCATGTGCTAGGAACTAATGGTCTCTCAGTCCTCGTGCACCTCGGCGTGCGGGGGGGAGTGTGTGAGCGGGGGGATGGTGCCCTGGTGATCAGGACCATGGGAGTGAAGACTCTTCTCTGCCCAGGCTGCTGGCAGGGGCTGAGGCTGGCATTCCCGAAGGGGCTCTGAAAAATGTCTCACTTTCATGAGACATAGTGATAGAAATGTAGCCGTGTTAGTCTGGTGTAGCTGAAACAAAATACAGGACTATGTAGCACTTTAAAGACTAACAAGATGGTTTAGTCTTGTTAGTCTTTAAAGTGCTACATAGTCCTGTATATTGTTTCATGAGACAGTCTGAGAGAAGCTGGAGAAGAGCAGCATGGATGGTGGAAGGGGGAGTGTAGGAGGTTGCAGGCTGCCCCCTCGCCGTTCTGCCACTTCCACACCCATGAGCCAGCCGGAGACTTTTCTTGGTGCTAGCACCCGAGCTCTTTATTGTCCGTGTCAGTTCCCACCACCTTCCACTTACAGAGCTTCAGACTGTCACCCCAGGGACCAGGTGCGTCTGCAGCCATCAGGGGTACACACCCTTTCCCTCCCTCCCTGCCAGCTTTATGTAGCCCCAGTTAATGAGGCCAGCAGCTGTTCCCCTTTGCCTCTTAGGCTGAGCCTTATCCTGCCAGCTCCAATTAAGCCTTACTGCTGGAGCTGGCTTGACAGAGCTCTGGCTCAGGCTTCCTAGCCAGCAGCCTGTTGCAGGGAGTAACTGCCAAGTTTGCTCAGCTCTGCTCTGCCCTGCCCACTGCCATTATGTACAACCAGTGCTGGGCAATGATATGGCACTTTCCCCCATCTCAGCTGGAACAGGGCCCCCCCCCCGAATCCTGGCCACATCCTGCATCTGTTGTAATGGGCTTGGCACCAAGGTGGGGCTGCAAACAAAACTGGGAAAGGGGGTTGTAGGCAGAGTGTGCGTCTCACAGCTCTGCACCAAGAGATACACAGCAGGGCCCAGGGAGCTCAGGGTCCCTCAGAGCATGTTGCAGCATTTGCTGGCTGGGCTGCGTGGTGCGCAGACTAACAGATGCCTTTCTCTGTCTGGCATGTCGCATTGGGCTCTGCTGAAGCCCAGCAAGCTGGCAGGTCATCCGTGGATTTTGAGAGCGCGCACTTGTGTGCTATTGCCAGGCGCTCCAGTCCTGCACTAGGGACGGGGGTGAGGAGGTGGCAGAAGGACTGGAACAGAAAAAGTGAAGGAGATCAGCTAATTCCAAGTTGGGAAGAGCCTGGTCTGAAGACAGACGGGCCCTTGTGTTTGGTGGCTGCACGGGCAGGGCAGTATGTGCCTCTTGAGGGCTAGATACAGAGTCTGCAGTTTGGAAGGAATGGTCCTTTCACATTCCCTCTCCCCAGTAGCAGAGTCTTGATTGCTTAAAATTACATGTTAATTCTCCACAAGATTCCCGCTTGCTGCCGTTGCTGGTGCCAGCGTCCTCGGGAGGTATTTATAGCGCCGGCACCAGGGCTTGTGCCAGGGTTGTTCGCGTGTCTCCTTTTAAAGGGATAGCAGCGTCTCTGGGGTGGAAGCAGAGCTCACAAGGTGGTTTAAGCTCTTTTATACCTGAATAGGAACATTCTGGGATAAACGGATTCCTGAAGCTCATACGGTTACACCAGTCACTGCAATTAATTTGGCCCATCTGTTCATATTAGAAAATTGGTAAGCTTTGCATTCACAGAGGTGGTGTAACCTCCATTTGGTCGATGGGGAGCCTAAGACATCCAGAGGGTAAATGACTTGTTCAGAGTGGGATTAGAACCTAGATGTTCTGATCCTCTACTCCCTGCTCTAGCCCTTAGACGACACTCCCTGCAGAAAGGGGGTGTTTTTGAATGAGTGGCACCAATTTCTTTTAGGACAAAGGAAAGCAGGGAACCAGTCTCAGAGCATTGTTGGCAAAGTGCCAGGCTGCCAATAAGGATGGGCAGTCTTGACAGTAGCCAGAGAGCTGTGCCTGGGGGAGCCCTGCTCCTTAGTGGTTAGCATTCCAGTCAGTCTCACGCTGCCGGTGCCCATGAGTACTGGGGGTGATCCTAGCTAGTTCCATGGAGTTCTCCCACTCATCTGCAAGCAGGTTAGGAAGATCTTGCTTTTCTATGGATAAGAATAGCCACTGACATCTGATAGAATAAAAAAAAATGGATTTAAACCCTCATGCTTCAGAGCATGACCCAATACACTCTGAGGGTATGTCTACACTACCAAGTTAATTCGAACTAAGCTAATTCGAACTAGCTAATTCGAACTAGCTAATTCGAACTAGCTAATTCGAACTAGCTAATTCGAACTAGCTAATTCGAACTAGCTAATTCGAACTAGCTAATTCGAACTAGCTAATTCGAACTAGCTAATTCGAACTAGCTAATTCGAACTAGCTAATTCGAACTAGCTAATTCGAACTAGCTAATTCGAACTAGCTAATTCGAACTAGCTAATTCGAACTAGCTAATTCGAACTAGCTAATTCGAACTAGCTAATTCGAACTAGCTAATTCGAACTAGCTAATTCGAACTAGCTAATTCGAACTAGCTAATTCGAACTAGCTAATTCGAACTAGCTAATTCGAACTAGCTAATTCGAACTAGCTAATTCGAACTAGCTAATTCGAACTAGCTAATTCGAACTAGCTAATTCGAACTAGCTAATTCGAACTAGCTAATTCGAACTAGCTAATTCGAACTAGCTAATTCGAACTAGCTAATTCGAACTAGCTAATTCGAACTAGCTAATTCGAACTAGCTAATTCGAACTAGCTAATTCGAACTAGCTAATTCGAACTAGCTAATTCGAACTAGCTAATTCGAACTAGCTAATTCGAACTAGCTAATTCGAACTAGCTAATTCGAACTAGCTAATTCGAACTAGCTAATTCGAACTAGCTAATTCGAACTAGCTAATTCGAACTAGCTAATTCGAACTAGCTAATTCGAACTAGCTAATTCGAACTAGCTAATTCGAACTAGCTAATTCGAACTAGCTAATTCGAACTAGCTAATTCGAACTAGCTAATTCGAACTAGCTAATTCGAACTAGCTAATTCGAACTAGCTAATTCGAACTAGCTAATTCGAACTAGCTAATTCGAACTAGCTAATTCGAACTAGCTAATTCGAACTAGCTAATTCGAACTAGCTAATTCGAACTAGCTAATTCGAACTAGCTAATTCGAACTAGCTAATTCGAACTAGCTAATTCGAACTAGCTAATTCGAACTAGCTAATTCGAACTAGCTAATTCGAACTAGCTAATTCGAACTAGCTAATTCGAACTAGCTAATTCGAACTAGCTAATTCGAACTAGCTAATTCGAACTAGCTAATTCGAACTAGCTAATTCGAACTAGCTAATTCGAACTAGCTAATTCGAACTAGCTAATTCGAACTAGCTAATTCGAACTAGCTAATTCGAACTAGCTAATTCGAACTAGCTAATTCGAACTAGCTAATTCGAACTAGCTAATTCGAACTAGCTAATTCGAACTAGCTAATTCGAACTAGCTAATTCGAACTAGCTAATTCGAACTAGCTAATTCGAACTAGCTAATTCGAACTAGCTAATTCGAACTAGCTAATTCGAACTAGCTAATTCGAACTAGCTAATTCGAACTAGCTAATTCGAACTAGCTAATTCGAACTAGCTAATTCGAACTAGCTAATTCGAACTAGCTAATTCGAACTAGCTAATTCGAACTAGCTAATTCGAACTAGCTAATTCGAACTAGCTAATTCGAACTAGCTAATTCGAACTAGCTAATTCGAACTAGCTAATTCGAACTAGCTAATTCGAACTAGCTAATTCGAACTAGCTAATTCGAACTAGCTAATTCGAACTAGCTAATTCGAACTAGCTAATTCGAACTAGCTAATTCGAACTAGCTAATTCGAACTAGCTAATTCGAACTAGCTAATTCGAACTAGCTAATTCGAACTAGCTAATTCGAACTAGCTAATTCGAACTAGCTAATTCGAACTAGCTAATTCGAACTAGCTAATTCGAACTAGCTAATTCGAACTAGCTAATTCGAACTAGCTAATTCGAACTAGCTAATTCGAACTAGCTAATTCGAACTAGCTAATTCGAACTAGCTAATTCGAACTAGCTAATTCGAACTAGCTAATTCGAACTAACTTAATTCGAATTAGTTAATTCGAACTAACAGACGTTAGTTCGAATTAACTTGGTAGTGTAGACATACCCTGACAGGGGTCAGGAAGAAACTTCCCATGCAGGTAGGTTATCCCATAATTGTCCACTCTGGGTTTTCATCCACCTTCTCCTGAAACATCTAGCACTTGCTACTATTGGAAAGAGGACTCTGGATGACTGGATTATATAGACCAGTGGTTCTCAACCTTCCCTGACTGTACAGCTGAAGCACAAGCATCCCTGGCATCCTTGTTTGTGCAGTTGCTCTCTGTTGCTGTCCAGTTGTGAGGGCTTTGGAGGTTGCGAGGCATTTGAGTAGCAGGCTCTATCTCCTGAGAGCTGTCACTGAGGTTTCCCTTCGAGTTTCATAGGACTGAATGATGTACTGCAGGAAATGTCTGGGAGAAGGGGAGGAGTTAATGTTCCATCCATGTTTTGATTTCTCAGGTGTGCAACAGATCACAATAGCGACAACACGACTGAGATCCTGTGGGAATGGCTGACGGCCATGGAGAAACACTATCACTACATTGAATGGAAGTCAGTGGAGGAGCCCCGGTAAGGTGCATGGTCCCTTGAGGCCTTGCTGTAGCAACGTGTCCTAACAGAGGATGTTTTGTCCAGTTCATGCATAGGGAAACTGAGGCACGGAGGGGCTGAGGGGTTAGCCAAAGGCTACAAGGGACTTAGCTGGGGCTGGAATAGAACCAGAAGTTTCTAGCTTTCCGTCCCTCCACTCAGCCTACAAGACATCGCTGTTGGCGTTTTTCTTATGTGCACATGTATGGTTTGCAGGCCCGGATATGGGGCATAAAAATCTTTGCAGGAAGTGGGCCTAGCATACTCTTCCACCCTGCGGCGGTTCTGGTCCAGCTTTGGACAGGGTGCATGGGTATTCTCCTTCAGGTGGAATGGGGGCAGCTTGCTCCCCGCACCTTCCCTCATGGATGTCAGTTGTTTGGTAGCAGCCTGATGAAGGCATCTGAGGATACCTACTCATTGGCATTGTGGCGTCTGCCTGCAGCTTGGCAGGTTGGCTGCCATCTGTGCTGCATCCTGTTCTGATCTATGCAAACCTACTGTGCCCAGCTCTGTTCTCTCCTCTCTTGTCGTGCTCTTCTGGAGCTGACTGCACAGAGAGATCCCCCAGGAGTGAGAGGCTCCTGTGTACAGATGGAGACAGGGAGAGCCTGTTCTCATGCAGTGTCCTTACTGGGAATGTGTGGGCGGGGGTCTGATCCAAGCCTGAGCCTGCATCAGTGAGTCAGTTTCATGTGTCTCCCCTCCCCATCTGGGGCCAGTCACTGAGCCACACCGCACATGCTTGGGCTGCTTGTGGGATGAACAGGCTGGGCCTTGTGAGCTGAATGGTTCCTCAGTGGGGGATGCCTCCCTGCTTCCCCAGAGGGACTCCCCCAAGCAAACCCAATCCAGATGAGCTGCCCTGCCTTGCCTGAGCTACTCAGCCATGAGACACACCACTGCAGTGTGTGAGTTCACAGCAAAGGGCAGGTTGTTAACTCTTTGTTTGCCTGATGCAGCTCTTACCCCGAGGAGCTTGGCCCCAAGCACTGGACAGACGAACGCTACGAACATGTCATGAGGCTCAAGCAGGAAGCTCTGAGCTTCGCTCGGGCCAAGGGGGCAGATTATCTCCTGGTAAGAGAATCTGGAACTGGACCAAGGGGCCCCCTTCCCTCCTTTAGCACTGTAGCGATTTCAGCTCTCCTGCAAAGCCCAGCATGGGGCAACACCCCCCCCCCTTTCAGAGGTGTTGAAAGCAGAGATAGGAGAGTCTGTAATGTCACCCCCCCACCCTCCAGGGTCCAGGGCAGGATCACTCCTTGTGGCAGATCCTCTAGAGGTGTATCCGAACTGAAGTTTTGTGGCTCTGCTTTGCTGTGGATGCTACAGAACCATCACCCAACAATAATATCACCCCCCCTCCCTCCAGCAGGGCTGTGTGAGAATGCCCCCTGCTAGGAACATTTCCTCCAAAGGTTTCCCTCGCTGGCTGAAAGGCTGGAGGTTGAGGGTGCTGGAGAACCCTGGAGCTTCCCAGAGAAGCATTGGTGCCCTACCTAGCCCTGGCAGGGCAACAACTCTCCCTCCTAGCACCCTGCAGGTCACTCACCTGTTGTGATGAGCACCCGGTGCTGGGTGGGCTAGATGCAGGGCCTGCTTCGGGCGTATTGCTCCCGCTATATGGGATGTGTTTCCACCACTAGCTCACCGACACAGACAGCATCCTGACCAACAATCAGACCCTGACCTTCCTGATCGCGCAGAACAAATCTGTGATCGCCCCCATGCTGGATTCACAGACATACTACTCCAACTTCTGGTGTGGGATAACCCCTCAGGTAAGCTGCCTCGGGTGCGGCGGGGGAATCCCCCCTGCTGGAGGATTCCTCTTTGCTGCCCCTGAGCCTAGGTGCTGCTGCTGCCAAGCAGTGGGGTGTGTTATCCTTGGGGGTGCCCCAGTCCTGTGGGGTCCTAGGGCGGGTATGGGGAAAGTCTTCTCCCTTTGCCACAGCCTGAAAACACTGGCAACCCGGGAGCCAAACTGTCGGCTTTCTGTGTGAGGAACCTCCCTTTATGCCCTACCCCTGCCCATCTGGGAACCTCTGCCAGCTTCCTGCAAGAAATCCCACTGGTCCCTTCTGGGCCGTGTGCCACCCTGCCCGGCTCCCTCCCATCACATGAGCTCTACTGTCTCCTAAAAGCTCCAAGTAGCCTCTGAATTGCCCCATCTCTGCTGTGTGGGGTCTGGTGTCAGGGTGGCACAGAGCCTGGCCTGCTGCTGTCAGGACACGGCTGTGAGGGAGCTCTCCATGCTGGAGCTCTGCCGCCTTACCCCCCCCCCCGGTATCAATGTTCCCCCTTTTTCCCATCCACGTGCAGAATAAATTGTATGCACACTGAGGCACGTGTGGATGTGCACCACAAATAGAAACACTGTGGGCACTCTGCTAATCAGCTGGGTGGCAGCTGAATCCTTCCTGGGTGGCATCCAAGTGCTTAGCTTACAGGGAACGCTGCCCCCGGTATTTCCCAGGGTTACTACCGCAGGACGGCAGACTATTTCCCCACCAAGAACCGCCAGCGTGTGGGCTGCTTCGCCGTCCCCATGGTATACGCCACCTTCTTGCTCGACCTGCGGAAAGAGGGGACCTCCGAGCTCGCCTTCCATCCGCCCCACCCCAACTACACCTGGCCCTTCGACGACATCATCGTCTTCGCCTTCTCCTGCCAAGCAGCGGGTGAGGGCCAGGGAGAAGGGAGAGGCGGGGCAGGGGACCCGCAGAGAGTTGTACTAGGTCCTCTCTGGGGGACCTCCTCAAGGCATCCCATGTCTGGGGATGGGGAGTCAAGGCCAGATGCCTGTTTGCTGTGAGATTTGAATCTGTCCCCAGGATGTGGAATTTAAGGATGTGAAAGTGCCCAGCAGCCCTCTCCTGCCCTGTGCTCACCCTGCTCAGCCCCTTTGTCCCAGGCAGAGTGGTTGCTGGAGGCGGTGGAGGAAGGCTTGGCTGGCACACTAGGAGGAGAGCAGGGTTTGTGCTTTGGGATGCAGCGACATGGGGTAGACTGGAGTGCAGAGCTCTCAGTGGAGAGGCTGGGAGCAGGGACTGGTCGCCCGGGGTTACTCTGGCAGCTGCTGCCTTTCAGGAGTCCAGATCTACGTGTGTAACCAGGAGCGGTTTGGCTACATCAATGTCCCAGTGAAGCCTCATCAGACGCTGGAGGACGAACGCATCAACTTTGTGCACCTCATCCTGGAAGCCATGGGTAAGGGCTCAGGGGTCCAGCCACTGGCACAAGGGGAATGACGGGAGCTTCCCAGGGCTAGGACCCCAGTGTGGCACAGATCAGCCTTGGCAGGCGCAGCGCCCTGAGGAGAGCGGCGTTTCACCTGCTTACCCCGGGGGTGCATTGTCTGAGGAGTTGACGGTCAACACCTATGTGAGTCCAGTCTCTCTTTGGCTAACCCCCTAGCTGACGTGAGGGAAGTGCATTTGGTCACAGGTGGGGGCTTGCTGGCTTTCTTGTTGGGGGGACAGCAGCAAGCCAGAGAGTTGAATGGGCCATGGGAAATGGAAGGCCCCAGGTCAGCCATGAGGCACTCTGACTGAGGGCCTGGTGGATTGGGAGCACTGTCAGGCCAGCCCCAGCCTGCACCATCATCCAGAAGCGAACCTGGGGGCAGTCCCCAGGAAGCTCTTAGCCCACACACCAGCTGTGTTCGGTGAGGCAGACGCAGCTGTGGGTGTTTGTGTCCATCTAGGCCCGTGGAAGGAGGGTTGTGGGTATAGTGACTCCAGCTTAACCACGTGTTTTGTCTCTTGCAGTGGATGGCCCCCCGATGTACCCCTCCGAGCATGTTTCCCTTCGCCCCAAGCACCTTGGGAAAATGGGCTTTGATGAGGTGAGCACCTGGCTGCAAGTCCAAGCACGTTGCCCCTCCCTGGCCTGCACAGCATCCATGTGGCACCTACTGCCCCTCACCTTCCCTGCACCCGCTGGGGCTGCTGGCCAGCAGAGGCTGCATGGTGTTGTGAAGTGCCCCCAGCAACGCCAAGAGGGCTGCCACTTTGGGTGAAGGATACTCTATGACCCATATCACTTGCCTGGTAGCCTGTGCTGCTCCATTAAACGCCCAAGCTGGGACCCCCGGGAACAGCACCTTGGGGCCCAGTGCAGAGTTGGCTCAGGGCGGAGGATGGGTGGCTGGTGAGGGAGGCCTGCAAGAGCCCTGGCCCTTGGGGAATGGTTCTGCTATTGCTTCAAAAAGGAGGGAGCGGGCTATGGCCCTTCTTTCATCACACTCATTGCCATGGAGCAGGGCTTGTTCCCCCATCGCACCCAGCTGGGATAGAGCCAGAGATGATCTTAAGGGAGGGCGAGCCGGGCGGTTGCGCAGGGCCACCATTTTCAAGGGACCCAACCTCCCAAATCCTGCCCCCAGATTTCTCTGGTTACTCCCCGACCTTATTTTTTCTTTTTGGCTGACAAATTTTTGTCTGGTATTTTTTTTGAAACCATCTGGTAACCCTACGGGGCTGCCAGTTGGTTAGGACCGGCCCTGGATAGAGCTTTCTGCATTGGCTGGAAGAACCCCTTGTAGACTATTCCCCTCCCCTTAGTGAGCATGGGACTATGCCCCCGCCCTGGGGGTCTCTAGCCTGATGTTCAAGGGAGCCAACAGCCTGTGCGGGTCCCTGGGCAAGGTGGCAGGGGTGGCTCTGTGCTCCCAGAAGAGGCGGGGCCTCAGGTGGAGGGGGTGAGGCTGGGGCAGTCAGACCTCCATAATACCTGCACGCAGTGCATCCTCCCTCCCCCTCAGAGCCACACAGAACGTGCAGCAAGACAAAAGCTGATGCTTCAATACAGTGGTCCCCAACACGGTGCCCATGGGCGGCATGGCGCCCATGAGGGCATTTGTGTGCGCCCGCAAAGTGCTCGGGGCTGGCCCCGCCCCCGGCGCGTGGCACATACGTGGTGCGGGCCCCGGGCATGTGGCGCATGGGTGGCCCCTGCCCTGGACACGTGTCACATGCGCGGTGCCAGCCCTGGGCTCAGGGTGCATGGGCGGCCCCCTTCCTCAGCAGGCTGAAGGCCCAGCTCCACACCTGGAAGGGAAGGGACCTCAAGCAGAAAGCCAGCTCCCCGTGCCACTGCACGATGCTCCAGCAGCAACTTAAAGGGCCCAGGGTTCCAGCCACTGCCACAGTAGCAGCAGCAGCAGTGGCCAGGAGTGCTGGGCCCCTTTGAATCTCTGGGCCCTGGGATAACTTCCCCCTTTGTGCTCTGCCCCCCACCCCTTTGGTGAGCCGGCTGGTGTTTCCCAGGGTAGAATCAGAATCGTTGGACTGGAAGGAACCTTGAGAGGTCATCGAGTCCAGTCCCCTGCACTCATGTATTAACTGGACATCCCTGACAGGTGTGTGTCTAACCTGCTCTTAAACATCTCCAGTGTTGGAGATTCCACAACCTCCCTAGGCAACGTATTCCACAGTTTAACCACCTGGACAGGTAGGAAGTTTTTCCTAATGTCCAGTCTAAACCTCCCTTGTTGCAATTTAAGCCCATTGCTTCTTGTTCTATCCTCAGAGGTTAAGGAGAACAATTTTTGTCCCTGCTTGAAACAACTTTTTATGTCACGGGTGGGAAACCTCAGGCCCGGGGGCCATATGTGGCCTGGATCTGGCCCCTTCCATGTGAGTGTGTGTGTGAAGTGCAGGCAGAGCCAGGCTGGTGATTAGGGAAGGCATCTTACACACCAGATGCCTATAGTGGGAAGCGTCTCTCTGCTCAGTTGGGGACCACATCAGTTTTTTGTTTTTTTTGCTTCTGACTTGTGTCCAGCCCCTGACTGATTTTTCTGTAGGTCAGCAGCCCAAAAAAGGTTCCCCACCCCTTTTTAAGTACTTGAGAACTTCAGAGGGGTAGCCAAATTAGTCTGTAACTGGAAAAACTGGAAAAACAACAAATAGTCTAGCAGCACCTCAAAGACTAACAAAACACGTAGATGGTATCATGAGCTCTAGTTTCTACAGCCTGTTATTGGATCCCCTCCTGCCAGGATTGTCTTCTCCAGACTAAACAAACTCAGTGTTTTCATCTTCTCTCATAGGTCATATTTTGTTAACCTTCAACCACCTTGCTCTTCCCTGGACTATCTTTAATTTGTCCACAGCTTTCCTGAAATGTGATGCCCAGAACTGGACACAGTACTCTTGCTGAGGCCTAATCAGCGCAGAGTAGAGCGGAAGAATGACTTCTCGTGTCTTGCTCACAACAATCCTGCCAGTGCATCCCAGAATGATGTTTGCTTTTCTCTGCAACAGTGTCACACTGTTGACTCATATTTAGCTTGTGGTCCCTTTTTGCAGTACTCCTTCCAAGGCAGTCGTTTCCCATTTAGCATGTGTGCAATTGATTGTTCCTACCTAAGTAGAGTACTTTGCATTTGTCCTCATCAAATTTCATCTTATTTTCCTCGGACCATTCGTTTCTCCAGTTTTTCCAGTTAATTTTGCTTTTTAATCCCTCTCTTTAATATTTTATTCTTCTTTAGATTTTCCTGATTAACCTAGTGCGGCGGCCAGACAGGCGCCAGCGGATGCTGAGTTCACTCCATGAGCTGGAGCTAGAGCCGCTGGTGGTGGATGCTGTGGATGGGAGGTGATTGCTCTGAGCTCCTTACGCTGCTTTGCCATGGTGAGGGATGGACTGCCTAGACCCCAGGGAGGTGGAGGGGAAATGAGTTGTGGACACTGGGGGCTGACAGGTTTCTTGCTGCTGTAGCTCAGCGCTGTCGCTGCTGTTTTGGATTGAGCTGGGGGATGCATTAGGACCCTGCACATTGAACCAACAGGGGAAGTGCTGCCAGTCTGGGGTGGAGAGCTTCTCTCCTGAGCAAGGGAATAAAAAGGCAGGTGTCAGATGGGGTAAGAAGAGTCAGCAGCCAAAACTACCTGCGAGTCGCTGGCCCGGGGCTCATCTTGCCAAACCCTCTGCACCCTCAGGGCCTTGCCACAGGTAGCTGTGCGGGAGAGTCCAACCTCCACCAGGTGTGGCCAGGCCCCTCCTAAGCAGTGTTTTTGGGGGAGGTGTTTCACTAGGGACTCCCCGGTGGAGGATGCGCCCGTCACCCAAGGCTGGAATAACCTGCCCCAGACTGGCACTAGCCCATGTGGCTGCAGGGAGGTGCTTGGTTTTGACTGGGCCAGGAGCAGGGACAGAAGAACTCAGTGTTATTCCAGGTGCAGGACGATGGGAGGCTATTGGGAAGGCTCTGTCATGGCCATCATCTGCCCTCTCCCCCGGCCAGTGCGGGATTGTTCCCTACAGCCTGCTGTCCAGTGCAGCACTTCTCTAACCACGGCCTCTCGCCTCCAGCGCCCTGAACAGCAGCGACATTAAGAACCTGGGTGTGGATCTGCTCCCAGGATACTATGACCCCTTCTCCGGCAGGACGCTCACCAAGGGGGAGGTTGGTTGCTTCCTCAGCCATTATTACATCTGGAAAGAGGTAAAGACCTGGAGTAAAGGAAGACAATAAACGGGGAGGGGAAGATGACACCGATGCCAAGGGGGGCCCATGGCACTGGGCATTGTTCAGAGTGAGAGACAGACCCTGCCCCAAAGAGCTTATTGTCTAAACAAAGAAAGGAAGGGAAGCGACTTGCCCAAGATCACCATTGCCAGAGCTGGGACTAGAAGCTAGGTCTCCTGGGTCCTACTGCGGTGCCCTACACACTGGAGCGCATCCTGGATGTGTGGAACGGGATGGGGATGTGGATGTCACCTCTCCCCTACTCCTCTGTTCTGTGAGGCTCATCACCAGAGCCCCAGCCAGACTTAGTTTCTGGACTGGTGCCGTCGTCCTGGGGAGGGGGAGTCCAAGAGGGAGCTGCAGGGCCTCTTACGACAGCTGCTTGGGCTCTGCCTGCAGATCGTGGCGCGGGGGCTGGAGAAGTCGGTGGTGTTTGAGGATGATGTGCGCTTCGAGGTCTATTTCAAGGTGCGGCTGACGCGACTGATGGAGGAGTTGGAGTGGGCACAGCTGGACTGGGACCTGATGTACGTTGGGCCAGCTCACAGTGAGGGGAAAGGGATGGGATGGGGTTGTGAGTGGGGCAAGCTTGCCTTCTAAGTGCTATCACTGATTGAATCCCTCCATGGTCGGGGGCCCTTTGCCCGCTTCCCCATAGGTTGGTGCCCTTTGATGCTGGCTCCTATTTTCAGACCGGCAAATGCCCAGCTCTGGTGTATTCAACCCCAAATGCCCCCAGGTGTCAGTGAAGCCTGACACCTGGAGGCGAGTCTGTATCCCGCTCCCAGCCTGTGGAGCTACCCAGTCCCCGTAGCGTGTTCGCTGCCTGGGATTGCGGTGGGCCTGGCTCCTTCTCTTAGCTGGTGGGCTGCTCTTGCCTTTGCAGCTACCTGGGCAGGAAGCAGGTGAACTCGGAGGACGAGGAGCCGGTGGAGGACGTGCGGAAGCTGGTGGTGGCTGAATATTCCTACTGGACCCTGGCTTACATCATCTCCCAGCGGGGGGCACAGAAGCTGATCAGGGCTGAGCCCCTGTCCAAAATGCTGCCGGTGGATGAGTTCCTGCCCATCATGTATGACAAGCACCCAAAGTAAGGAGAGGCTCCAGCTGCTGCTTCCTCCTTATGGGATGGCTGGGAAGGGACAGAGCCCAGTGAAGGGGGGGTCTCCAATCCATTCAGACAACTCCACCCACTCCCAGAAGAGATTTTGGTTCTGTTTTCCTACCCAGTCAGGTGTGACTCCCCTTTGCTAGTCTGGTTTGCAGCTCAGACCCCGTTAGCAGCTTGGTCTTGTAAGTGAGGAAACGTGTGTGTGTCCCCCCCCCCCCTCTCCTTCCAGCGTTACATGTGCACTGAAAGAAAACATCTGTTCCCATGAGCTCATTCCCCTCAGCCGTGGCTGCGCTCTGGTCTATGGAAAATAGTCGTCAGGGACCTGAGGGGGAGGAGGGCGCAGAGAACGGTCATTGCCAGCCAAGCAAGGGCTGGCGTGAGATGAGTTTGGAGGATCTCAGCTCCACGTCCTGCCTAGCATCATGACTAATTCTTCCACATGCTGCCTCTTACTGCCTGTCTGGGCCATGAAGACTGAGCCCCACCTGACATCTGTGGATTCCTCCCCTGGTTAGAGTTAGGCCCAGCCCAAGGGATGCTTTCTCTGCTACCACCTGTGTTCCATGGTAGGCAGAAGGCTCCAGGGCTTTTGACCAGATGCTGTTCAACAGCACTGAAATCGCACATGGAGGGCGAGGTGAGAGGATCGCTAGAAAACCTGGTGGAGCTGAGAGTGCAGCTTTCATGGCCAAGGAATCTGTGCGTGTGTTATCTAAGAATGTGGGTGCTTATCTGAGGATCACGGAGACCCCAGGCTCTAAATACAGCATGCGGACATGGCTACCAACTCCCCCTCTGCACTGTCCCCCGTTCATCCCCACGCACTGTGCAGTCCCACCGCTATTCAGTCAGGATACCCCTCCCCCTGCCCAATATCTCCCAGCCATTCCAGGGCAGCCCTGTGGATCACATACTCTGCAGCTGTCTTAGGTGCTCTGGGATTCCAGTCAGACTGATGCAATGGAGTGCCGACTTCCTGCCCCTCTGGCAGGCCTCTGGCTGCGGGGGGAGGGGAAGGAGCTGGGAAGGGTTGAAAGAGATGGAAAAACAGGGATTAAAAGAGCACAGGGAGGGATGGAGGGGGAGGTGGACAGCCCTGGGTGTGAACCAGGAACCATTCCAAATCCCAGGCTAGCAAGAATAACATCAGCCTAAGCTGTCTGGCACTGGGTCAGCCCAGTGGCCTAACTGGGACCAGGTGAGTGCCCAGGTCTGCAGTAGACCCCAGTTTGATCTGACTGGCACAAGGCAGGAGCTGGGCAGGCTGAGGAGGGGAATGTGACAGGAATAGGCCCTGAGGCTCCGTCTAGACTGCAGGCTTCTTGCGCAAGAAGCTTTTTGCAGAAGAGATCTTCCTCAAAAAGTTCTTGTGCAAAAGCGCGTCCACACTGCAAAAATGCATCGGAAAAGCGATACGCTTTTGCGCAAGAGAGCGTGCATGCTGCATGGACGCTCTCTCGCAAGAAAGCTCTCATTGCCATTAACAGAACGGCCACCAGGGTACCTGTGCTTCTTTCAATAGGCTGTTTTTGCGCAACCCCCCCCGGCTACGTCTATACTGTAGCCTCTGTGCGGAAAAGCATATGCAAATGAAGCTCGGCATGGACTATCGCCATGCTTCATTTGCATAATTAATGAGCAGCTGCTTTTGTGCAAGAGGCTTTTGCTCAAAAAAGAGCCATGTAGACGGCTCTTTTTTGCGCAAAACCCCCCTCTTTGCGCAAAAGCCTCTTGCGTAAAAACAGCTGCTCATTAATTATGCAAAAGAAGCACGGTGATATCACATGCGGAGCTTCATTTGCATAAGCTTTTCTGCAAGAAAGCTACAGTGTCGACGTAGCTCGTTTCCCATTCATACACAACTTTTTCCGCAAGAGCTCTTGCACAAAAAAACTTATTCTTCATAGAAAGAGGAATAACTATTGTGCAAAAACCCCCTCTCTTCTTCTGATTTACTGTAAATTTACTTGCGCAAAAATGCACTTGCAGTATGGACGCTCTGAGTTTTTGCACAAAAACTCTGCAGTCAAGTTGTAGCCTCAGTGTAGAGCTCAGGATGGCTAAGAGCTGCCAAGAACCCTGCCAGGGTGGGTGCTGGGATAAAGCACATTGGGGGATGGGGCCAGGAACCATTGCGGCTCCTCATGTTGTCTTACAGCCTTGGCAGGCTGCAGGGTGAGCTCATCGCGGGATTCCTTGTTTGCTGTAGTTTCACGAGGAGGCTGGGAACGGTTTAGCTCTGCTGTGGCTGCTGAGAAGCATGTTTCTGGGCAGCCGGCCTGAGCCAAGCCAAGTGCTTTGGCTGCAGTTAGTGCTGTTCCATCAGGCAGGGGGATGGGTGGATCCCTCTCACCTACAGACTCTCTCTGAACCAGCAGCCTGCCTGGAGTTCTTGGCTCCCATGCCCAGTAGGAAATGCTTTGGAAGAGCCATCAAGGTGCTGCGTCTCAGGGCACTTCCTCTTCTTTGGTGTCAGAAGCCCAGGGATGCAGCGTTAGAGGCGACGGGGTTCCACCTCCCCCCTTTGCCGGGCAGACCCTGGCATCCCCTTGGGTGTACAGATTTTATTCTCCCGGATCTTTTGTGTTTCTATCCAGCCACGCTGATTTTTCCCCCTCTCCCTTTCCTAGTGAGGATTACAAGAAGCACTTTGCTAACAGAGACTTGCTGGTGTACTCGGTGCACCCCCTGCTGGTTTACCCCACTCACTACACTGGGGACTCTGAGTGGCTCAGCGACACGGAGACATCTACTATCTGGGATGACGACTCCAAGAAGACGGACTGGAGTGGCTCTCAGAAAACAATGAAGGGTTCCCGAAGCAACGCTGGCCATTCCTTCCGCTCGACCTCCCGGGATGAGCTGTAACGTCAGGTTGCTAAGCCAGGCCTGGGAAGAGCTGCGTAGCGCGTGTGTAAACATGCCGATTCAGAAATTGGCTGCCAGGAAAAGCTGCCCTGCAAACATGTCTGAAATCTCCCTTCTCATCAGAGTTCAGCAGCAGCTTTCCCCTTCCCCACAGCTGATCTCAAAGCATCTGACAGACAGCAGGGAATTAGTGTCCCAGCCAACCCCCTTCCTCTAGGTTGTTATCTGACAAATGGGGAAACCAAAGCACTGAACTGGATCTGCCCATAATTGGGTAGAAAGTCAGTGGCAGGTGAACAGAACCCAGGATTCTTGGCACACAGGCCTATGTTTAGCTGCACGACCACAGCCTGTTTCAGCTGTTGTTGGGGGAGTACCTGTGATGTCCCACTGCTCCTGCAGTATCAGGTGCTCTCTCAAGAGGGTGTGTCAGAGAATCCAGGGGGCTAATGCGCATCCTTCCCCAGGGTTGGAAGCTCTTGCAATGTTAGGGACAAATCCCTGTTGTTCTGCATCCGCAGGGTTGAGGATTTGGGAGGGGAGATACAAAGCCAACCCATGGGAGGTCAGGTCAGTACCGAGAGTATGCATTTGGGAGGCAGTGTTTGTCAGCTGGCTAACTGAGGGGACTGAGTGTCTGGATTCCTGAGTTCTACGCCACTGATTCTCTGTGTGAACTTGGGCAAGTTGCTTTACCGCTATGTGTAAAATGGGGATGAGGATCCTCTACATCCCAGAGTTAGGGAGAGGCCATGTTTAGGTACTGTCTGTAAAGTCCTTGGAACTCCTGAAGTGGAGGCGGTGAGGGGTGAATACATTGCTCCTGGCATCCCAAAGGTTTCCTTCACGCTAACTGCTCAATTGGCTTCCTGCTGGGTAGGGAGGCCGGGCAGTATATTTCACGGGGCTTACGCTGTAATTGGAAAATGAGACAGTGCATGATGCCAGACAGCAAAGCAGTCCTATTAAAAATCTATGCTTTGTCTGCTCCAAACCTAGCACAGCAATTGTTAATCCTCGTCAGAATTTCCATGACAAAGCTCTTGTGTCTGGCATTTTTAGTGCGAGCAGGAAAATGATTCCTGGGCAGGAGCCTAGCAATGAAGGGTACAAACTGGGAGCACATGAACTGGGCAAGGTTTGAAAACAAAAATAGCTTGGCCTTATTTCCGTGGTAAGCACGTGGTGGATCAGCTGGATGGTCTGGGCTGTGGCATGCCAGCATGTACCGTCTCCTCCTCCTGCTCTGCCTCTGAGCCAGTTGGCACTCTCCTCCCCAGAGGTGGCTGCACAGAGCTGGGGCTGGCAGGCACCACAGAAGTGAAAGAGATTATTTCTCATTCCCAGGCTTGTTACGTGACCCCGTCTGAATCTGAGGTGAGCCAAACAAAGCAGGAACTTCGGAGTAACTGCTAAGCCTCCAGCCTGAATAGCCTGGGCTGGGCTGCTTCATCTGGGGAGGGTCCCAAAGAGTGGGCAACTTTCCTCCTTCGCTCTCCAGTTCTTGTATTGGTTTAAACTCCTGTAGACTGTGACTGGACAGTGGGGATCCTAACCTGGATCCAGCCATGCACACTGAAGTCCCAGGCCATCCTCAGAGCACGTGGTGCATGGAGGAAGCTTCCCCCATGCAGATCCCCACCACTGGACCTCAGTCCTGATGGGATGGACTCTCTTTGTGGGCAGAGTAGAATTTCCTCTGTATGGCCCAGTCATATCTTGTTCCTTTTCTTGGCTGTCTCCGCTGAGATGCCCAGCAGCACAGCCAGGCCCTCTTGCAATGAATAGGGGGACAAGCTCTATGGGACATGGGGAAGCTCAGTGCCCAGGACGGGGGCATTTGAGGCACCAAATTGTTCAGTTTCACAGGCCGGCACCACAGCAGCTCAGGAAGCCTAGCTCTGCCCAATGGCACAGCAACCAACCCCAGCTTGCACCAATAACACGGGGCTCTCGCTTCCTTTTGCAGGAGTGCTTCCCATTCAACAGCTACAAAGGAGGGTCTCAGTGAGCCGCTTTGTCCAGCTGCACATCCACTGGTTCCTGTCGGAGAGATGCAGCTGTGTTTGCTTGACCCAAGGGGGTGTTTAATCTGGGCCTACAGTCTTGCTCACTGTAACAGACCGTATGCGTGGATTGCACCAAGGAGGACTATGCTTGACTTTCTGGATGTCTCTGCCAGATGGTGGAGCTTTTGGTTTAGCCCTTTGAAACCGACTTCTCCTTCCCCATCTCTAATGGTGCCTCTGTCTGAAAGGACAAAACCATTTGGAAATGCACAACACAGAGGTAACCCTCCAGGTATCGACTTGTCTGGTGTTTTCAGACTGAGCTCGTTCCTGTAGGAATGCAAGAGCCCACTCTGCTGAGATCTGTCTGGCTGTGGAGCCAGAGGGTGTGTTAGGTCCAATGGCTTATGCCGTGTATTGATTCTTTTGTAATACTTGTTTGGACATTTTATTTTTTGATCAACTCATCCTTCTGCTCCAGCAGACTCAAACGTCTTTCTCTCTTCCACCCCAGCCTGGAGTTGCTTACCACACCCCGTGCCTGGCTGAAAAGGGGATGGCACCGGGACATGAGGTAGTGGGTGCCTAAGAAATGCTCAGACAGACTTTCAATGCTGTAGGCTGGGGGAGAATCCAGTGCACTGCAGAAGTAAAGCAAGAATCCACCCAGCTAATTGCAGCTTAGGGTTCTCTCTGCATTATGCCTGCTGGGTTTTCTCTCACGTGTATATTTGACTCAAATAAGCCTGCCATCAAGAGGATTAAACTGGATTTTATTTAAGTCAACTCATTCATCTTACCAGGTTTTTTCTCTATAGCCCCCTCTAGTGTTCTCTAGTGCAATAAGCCTGCCATCAAGAGGATTAAACTGGATTTTATTTAAGTCAACTCACTCATCTTACCAGGTTTTTTTCTCTATGGCCCCCTCTAGTGTTCTCTAGTGTGTATTGCATTTGTTCTCTCCTTTGGACAACTAGCATACCCACAATACAGGCAGTCCCCGATTTAGGAACAGATTACATTCCGAACACCTGGCTGTAACTCGATTTGGTTGTAAGTTGGAAATACCCTTAAGTGGTCTGTTTGAAAAACTTGATGTAAATGGTTCTCAACTAGAAAATATTATAATGGGGTTAATGGGAGGTTGGTCATAAGTACAGATGGTCATAAGTCGGTGTGTTCGTAAGTTGGGGAGTGGCGTAGTCTGCAGGGCCTAGATCACCTCCTTTGTGCATGTGCAACGCACTGGCAGTGTCCAGTGATCACCTTTGAATGTCACACAGGAAGGGGAATAAGCTGTACCAGTGTAGGGCACCTTTTACTGGTAGAAAAATCACACCCCTTAGTGATGTAGTTATAATGGAACAAAACCCATCTGTGAATGGGGTGGGAATGGGAGCAGAGAACTGCAGGGTGGACTAAGTGTGAGACCCAAGAAATATGGGATACGGTTTGGGGTGTCCCTGTGTGAGAGACCTTAGCACCACCGTGATACTAAAGGTCAGGTGTTCAGAACAGCCTGGGTGTGGGCCCTCTGTCTGGAGGGAGGGAGCTGCCTGCCTTCTACTCTGTGCTGTTCCCCTGTGGGTTGGTGTTTCCATCACTGAGTAATGCTCGAAAATGAAGCCTGGTTTAGTGTCTCAAATGGGTGACTGAAAGGCAGGAGCTGCCTTTCTCTGCCACTTTCCAGGTGACCTTGGGCAGATCACATCACCTGTCTGTGCCTCTCTGGCCTCAGCTGTTGAATGAGAGAGAGATGAGCCTTCCCTCCATCACTGGGAGGGTTAATCAGTTTAATGTCCTGTGACGTAGTGGGGGTGTTGTTACATTCACTCTTTGCTGTATTGTGCCGTGTGTGTCTGTGTGTACGTGTACTCAGTTTCCGTGTCCTCCCCGCAGCACCCTCTGCATGAGGGGGGAGAGGCTGAGCATGACTCACTCCAGACATGTAAGGGCCAGACACAGGAGAGAACTCCTGGCCAGGAGTTGAGACAAAGGATAAGTGGGGCTACACCAGGTTGGGGGGCGGTTAAGGCCTGTGAGAGACTTGGAGCAGGAAAGGGGGGTGAAGGATGCAGGAGCCCCTCCCCCCCCAGAGGAATAAAGCTGCCTGCTCTCAGGGCCTGTGCTAACATCGATCCTGTGCTACGCTGTGTCTCTGTGAACCAATAACACCTTCTGTTCTACCTGCTGGCTGAGAGCCTCATCTGGCTGCAGAGGGGGGTGCAGGGTTGGGGACATCCAGGGTTTTAAAGATGCCCCAGGAGGAGGGAGCTCAGCCTGCCCCAGTGTTGTGTAGCCTACATCTTGCTCTGTGCCTTCTGGATAGTTGAATCTTGCCATGTCTCTGCTGGGCAGGGAGGGATTCTCACATCCTTCTGGCTACTCCGAAATGCCAGCATGCAGGTTGGCTTGTTGGAATGTCCTCCTTAAACTGATGGCAGGAGACGGGGAGCACGCTGGCAGGGGGGCTGTGGCTGTGGCTATATTAAAGACACGGGGCTTGGCTCAGCCTGTGTAGTCCTGGGAGCAGAGTAGGGGTAAAGCTTTCCTTCTAACCAGGTGACATTTCACAGCCGCCCTGGAAAGCCAGACTTTGCACTGGCTTCAGAAGTGCTGTTCAAAGTGACTCTGCATCCTGAGCAGTCCTGTACAGAAACCAGTTGCCCTCATGGTAACTGGCAGAAAGATGCTTTTAGTCATTAGAACTGAGCTCAGACAGAAGCCTAGAACCTGCCGTGGCGGTAGACTGGCCAAGCGGGTTCGGGGAGCAA